CAGGGGAAAGCGCCAGGCTTTACCTCCCCCAAATAAGAGCTTGCATTTTAATCCCTAAACTTCCCGTTAACTAGCTGTGTGCCTGTGGGGAGATTCAATAACCTCTCTGAGCGATAGTTTGCATGTTGTTAACACAGGGGTGGTCATATGTAGGAGTTCTGTTACGAGGAGGAACTCTGAAAGCCTCTATGCGTGCATTTACTATTGTTGATGCGACACACTGCAGTAAACTTAGTGGCTCAGCTTATGACGATGTATTCATTACCTAGTGATTTATTATCCAACAATCTAGGAGGTCAGAAGTCAGAGGTCTGACATGAGTCTCCCTGGGGTGAAATCAGAATGTTGGCAGGACTGCACGCCTCTGGGGAGGCTCTAGAGGAGAGTCTATTTCCTTATCTTTTCCAGCTCCTGTTGGCCACCCCCATGCCTTGACTGTGGTCCTTTCCCTCCTAACAGCCAGGGATGGCTGGTGGAGACTTTCTCACGTTGCATTCCTCTGTCCCTCTCTTCTCTGCCCCTCTCTTTCAGTTAGGAGAAGCCTGGTGACTACATTGGGCACCCCTGGGTAATCCAGAATCACCTCCTGATTTCACGGCCGGTTGATTAGCAACTGTAATTCCACCTGCTACCTGAATGCTTTTTCACAGGTTCTGAAGATTAGGGTGTAGATATCTTTGGAAGGGACAGTGTTCCACCTACCATGTTATGTAAAAGGCATAGTTCTGTGTTTCACTAACAGATGGGGGGCAATAAAGGATGACTGTTTTATTATTATTTCTTGAAAGGAGGCCTGTGCAGATCTAGACTATTCCAACGTGCCAGCACATTGTCTGAAGTTTTCCACTTCCTGGTCTCCGCTTCTCTGGTCCTTCTGGCTGGAACTCATTTGCCCATCTTCTCCTACCACTTGCTCACTCTCCAAGGATGTGAGCTGGCTCTTCCCTTCTTTATAGTGTCTTCCTTGAATCATCACAGCTGGAAGAAGGTGGCTCTAGGATGGTTAAAGGATATCTACTTATGGAAAAATAAGGTCATTGTAGGAGATGTGCTAACAGGATTTACTGAATATGAGACTTGGACAAATGCCTTCATCTCACGGGGTTAGTTTTCTCATCTTTAAGATGAACGTCGTGGTACGTTCATCAGAGATTTCCTGAAGGGACCGAACAGCATTGTGTGTGACGTGTGTGACTTGTTTATGAATTTATGACCTGGCAGAAACTTCATGTCAGACAAAAGAGAATTGCTAAAGGGGTTTAAACATTGTGTTTAATCAAGACAGAAGCCAAATGGGCCAACCTAATGGAAATATTTCTTTCAACATGTGCCTATAAAGCATCTGAAGTTGCAAGATGACTGGTTACTAGAAGTCAGGTTCAGTAACATCAAGTGCTTTTAAGGAGCACAAATTCAGACAGTGCTTTGAAGTTGGTTACACAAGAGTTACAATTTTTGCAACAAAACGCGACTCCTAGGAGATGTAGCAGGCAAAACCAAATTGCTGTTGTTTCTGGAGTTAGGACGCGGTTACCCCTTGCCAGCTTCGTTTGGCTAAGTACTGAGGTATCTCCAATGGCCCAGTGTCTTCTTTGCTTAACACTTGAGATACTACTTTCTTTACGGAGGCTTACTGGAGGAGCAACCGCAGTTGCATCTGCATCCATGGAAGTTCCTAGAAGTGGTCCTAGCACAGAGATGCTTACTAAATGTTGAGCGCAACTGTAACCACTCCAAGCACAATCTGATGGAAAACGGATGCGTAGCCTCTGGCAATGACCTTATTTTATGTTTGGAAAAGAAACCGTTAGACGATTACAACTGCTCGTGGTGGTGGTGGTGGTGGTGGTGGCGGGATTTGTGCCCGTTCCTGTGATGATGAAATTATTGAAATGCATCGGTCTTTTATTATAGAGATGCTGAAAGTGACATCTTGTATTTGTGTAAATCAGAGTTTGCCAGTTATTGGCCCATGGGGACTTAGCTTGCAAATATATTTTATCTTGTCAACACAGCGCTTTGTTGTTCACGCCGTGGCTGTGGTTGCTGCTGCTAATTGGTTTTGCTTTTGCTGTTGTCATTGTCATTGATTTATGAACCAACATATAAAAATGTAAAGATGTTTTATTAAAATTCCGAATTTCCATCTTCTCTTGAAAAACTGAACGATTGAGCGTTACGCAGCTAACATTTCTGCACAATGGTAATTAGCCACTGCGAATGGTGATTAGCTGTCTCCTGTAGACAGTGCAGGGAGCTTCCACTCTGCCTCAGTCTCCCTCACACAGATGGCAGTGCCTGTAGTTATTTGTTACAGTGTGTCTTCTGTGGAGTTCATGATGGTCGTGAGCTGTTGCTCCTAAGGGGACACACAGGGCTTTGTTCCTGGGAGCTTCCGGTCACAACATTTTCATCAACTTATCAATGCATAACCTTGTTTTAGGTGTGTTTCTGTTTAAAGGCATATATAATAAATGTATTTGGCTCATTAACGTCGCACTCATGGCTGGCAGCGGTATGGCTCAGACTGTGAGTCCACCTAACACACTATGTTCTGTGTAAGGCACATCACAGCCTTCCTGCTTTTAGAAGCACTCGGATAGCACTTTAGCTCTACACTCAGAGGCCGTTTTCAATATCAGTATCACCAACAAAAAGCAAAACAAATAGAAAAACAGAAAGTGGCAATGGGTCAAAGGCAAGGAGACACTTCTTTACAGTCTGAGAGCTGAGAAAAGACGTGTTGTCTTGTTCAGCTCAGATGAAAACCTGCACAAGGTGACTGGAACTTTTTGCCTTTCTGAGTGTGTTTCTGAATGACCACCAAGGAGCTGTAAGTATTGTATGTGAGGTTACAAATAAACTTCAGCAAGTAGGAAAATTTGCAAATATAGAATCTGCAAATAATGAGGATCCACTGCACGTGATTTGCAAATACTCTCTCTCTGCCAGTAGCTTATCTTTTAATCCTCTTTGTAGCACATTTTACAGAGCAAAAGTTTTAATTTTGAGGAAGCTGAATTTATCAGTTTTTTTATGGATCATGCTTTTGGTGTCAAATTTAAGAACTTCCTACTTAGCTCTAGACTGCAAAGCTTTCCTCTGGTTTTTTTTTTCCCTAGAAGTTTTGTATTTTGCATTTAAGTCTATGATCCCCTTGGAGTGAATCTTTATATGAAGAGTGGAGATTTCAGTTGAATTTTTGTTTTGTTTTGTTTTGGCCTGCAGATGTCCGGTTGCTTCAAGCCTGCTTGTTGAAAAGGCTTTATAGAATTGCTTTTGAAACTTTGTCAAAGATCACTTGGGCATGTGTGTGCCCTTGTGCCTGCTGTGTGGGGATAGAAACCCAGGCTCCCCAAACGGTGTCCACTTAAACCAGGCTAGTGGGGCTCTCATTGCCATCTTCTCGTACTGAGAATCTAGCTCTCTATTCCAGACCTTCCCTCGCCAGGGTGGTGGGGGAAGGTGCCTGGTTACAGCTGGGCATTAGGGGACACCTAGGCTCCCACTGGCCTTTGCTAGTGTGGGTGGAGGCAAAGCCACCAGTGATTTCCATGTTGCTCAACTAGGGAAGAACGACTGTCATCAAATTTTTCTGAGGTGGCTGCTTTCCTGGTCCTTTGTCTAGAGAAAGCAGAGTTTTGTTGTCTGTTTTTGTTTTTTTGTCTTCAGCCATTAGCACTTCTGGGTGGTTGGCCTCTCTCTGTGGTGTGTGAGGCAAAAAGAAATGCAGAAGACTCACCATCATGTCTTTCCTTGGAACTTGAGGTCCCTAGACGGCTTGCTTTTTTCTTCGCTGTTAAGAATCTTCTTTTGTGTGTTTTCTGTAGACTGTCTAGAGCCTTTAGTTGTACTTAGTGGAGGAATAGGGAAAAGTATGTGTGCTCCATCCTTCCTGGAAGCAGAAGGCATGACAGGCCCCTTCCTTCCTTCCTCCCTTCCTCCCTTCCTCCCTTCCTTCCTTCCTTCCTTCCTTCCTTCCTTCCTTTAATCCTCATTTTACAGATACAAAAATAAGTTCAGGGAAGTTGTGTGATGTTCTCAAAATCACACAGCTCCCACACGATGTCAGCCAGGCTACATGAACGCAGGGCCCGTGCTCTTCACTTGCATCTCCTTGGATCACCAGATACACATAAACACATCTACTCAGACACATTGTCTGTGTGCGTTCACAGTGCGACAGAGTCAACAGCGGAATAGCTCCCAGCTGCGAGCTCGGTGAGCCGTGAGAGACCGATGTGTTCCTGGTCTACTTTACTTCTGTCTCCCTTCTTTTTAATCACATTCTGTTAGGTCATGGGCTTGAAATCAGTGGAAGGGGAGAATGATCACGAGGCCAGGGATGCTCCCAAGTGCTTGCAGACAAGAGGGTCATGAATTGCAAGGCACAGAACCTCAAAAGGGGCTTCTGCGTGTGTGGCAAAAGGGGACAGAGGAGCGGGCTTCCTGATAGCATGAGAACGTGCTTGACGTTCTGAAATGACTGAGTCCGGACGTGGGGCAACATGATACAAAGAAGGGCCCATAAACACACTGGGAAGAGTGTTCGGCAGTAGCCACAGGATTAGCAACTCAGCCGCTGTGTTTCTAAAGGGAGACGTTTTGCTGCAGCATGATAGCAAGTCAGTTTACCTATGCACTGAAGCACCTGTTTTTCCTATAAAATGGATTTTTTTAACTAAAGATAAATCATACTCGTTAATGTACCTGTGCCTTAAGACCTGTTTTTCCCTTTTTTTTCACTCCATCGCTACCGACCTTTATGTATCTCTCATGATCTCGAATGAACTCAACTTCCTGTCTCCAGCTCGGCCCGTCTCACCCCGTTCTCCCTGTGCTGACAGCATGCATCTCTCTGCGATGCTGGGTGACCGTGTGTGCTGCCCAGACGCTTCCCTGGTTCCTTCCGACCTTTAGGGTTAAGTCTAGGCATTTTTAGAAGAAGCCGACAATAAGAAATCTGATACTCAGCAGCCTGTCCTCTGTTCTCTTCTTAGGTATTATCAGATCCGAGTGACCTTGAAGGTGTCCTCAAGGATCCCCCACAGACTGAGCGCCTCCATCGTTGGGCAGACAGGTGAGCAGGAGGAGGGCAGTGGGGCACCTGTACGCCAGGGCTTAGCAGAGTGCAAGGCAGAGAGAGGCACTCAGTAAATCATGGTTTATTGTTGAATGAGTGGACTTCGCAAATGGAGACCTACTGTGGTTTTGGCCATGTGCGTACGTTGTTGCAAGGGGAACCCAGCTGAAGGGAAAAAAGAACACTCTTCTAGGATCAGCTGGCATCTGAAGGTCAACCTGGCTATAGGGGCTTGGCTAACATCAAGTCAGGGAGGAAGAAGATGGGATATGTTTAGTTAATCAAGTATGAGATACTGAGAATGCTCTAGAAGGAGTCAAAACACTTGATGTCTTTGATAATTATTAGTGGAGTCATCTTGTGGGGACAAATTATTTAATTTGGCTTTTTTGGGTCACATTTATCTCAAAAACAGAAATAGAAAAATCGTGCTGTATCTAGAGAGGCAGAATTTAGTTGTGGGGAGGGCCTCCCTTTCTGAGAGTTCCAGGTTCAGATCCTACTCCTGGCGCTTCTCAGCCCTGGGGATTTAGAAAAGTCAGTTAACCAATTTGTTTTTCTGAGTTCTTCACTTATAAAGTAGGGCTGATAGGAAGTTTGTGTTAAGATCCGAATGACTTATGCGGGGAAATGACTGGAACGGTCCTGGCACATGGTCCACTCACCATAACCATTAGCAAGAGTAAGTGTTGCTATTATGCATTCAGTGGTTGTTCACTTGGCAGCATCTGCCCCATGCTTGCCCCAGGGACACAGCCCTGGGGAGGAGACGCTGCCTGCCTGCTCTGGAGGTGCCCGCAGTCTTCTGGGGGAGACAGAAGTGTCACAGTAATAAATACAGCAGAGGTGGAACCTGAGATGTGGTCTCAAAGGAGACTTGGAGGTGTGAGCAGACGTCGGCCCTGCGGGCAGAGGGAGGGAAGGCTACTCTGGGCAGAGGTGTCAGGTCCTGGTATCTCTGGGAGTGGACTGAGCCACGGTGTTTATGGGGTGATGAGGGAGCTGCTGAGGTGGGTGATCTGGACGGGGCCAAGGTGAGAAGAGAAACATCTATGGCCAGGTTTGGAGGCCACGTTGGGAGGGCTCGTTGAAGCCAGCAGATTGATTTCGTTTCAAGGCACAGCCAGAGAAATGACAGCAGTTGGGAGACACAAACCCTGTGCTGTTCAAACACAAGATGTTGCCTCGTACATCAAGGGGCAGAATTATCCGCTCTGGTCCTCTTTTTAGAGACATCCGTTCTCCGGTAGCTGTGTCACATGGAAATGCGTCTCAGTTACGGGGTGACTTAGACGTCACTTCTCTGGATGTGCAGTGCTTTCAAGGCAGGCGTTGTGTTTAGATTCTGTGGAATAAGTAGAAAGATCATCACTGCCCGGGCGACGTGCGGCCGTAACTTGTACCCTCTGGTGTTTTCTTTTTTCGGGGCTTTCTAAAAGGTGACTTAGGAAAGGTCTCTATGGAAAACTGGAGGTTCCTGCTTGTCTGAGTTAGTTCCATATCTCACAGGACAGACTGCGACAGACTCTGAGCTTGCAGCCGTCAGGAGCAATCCTCCCCTGGGCATTCTAGCCAGATCCCCGCCTTACGGAAGGGGCAGGTGTGTGAACTGGTGACCACATTACAGCCGTAACAGAGAGTCACAGCTGCTCAGAGAACTGGAGGCAGGGCACAGAGGGGACTATTTAAAACAAAAAACCAAGCAAAGCAGAAGGGAGCCTCTTCTCTGTGGATGTGGAATAGTGAGAGGTTCGGGCTAGCAGTCAGGATGACTCTGAAAGGCCACTGGGTCTAGGTCATCACCAAAAACAGAGAAGTATTAATTGGAGGTGATGCTCGAGCAATTCACTGAGGCCAGGACATCCCTGGGCTCTTCTGAAACTTTTCAGATTCCTCCTATGAGCCAAAGCCTTAAGCTTGAGAGGTAGAGGTGAATGATGGTCACTTAAAATATGATGGTTAAGGTATTCCAGAAAGAGAAACTGGACGTAAGGAATTTTTAAAAAACACGATGCTGCTTGCTTCAGAGGGCTGCCTGCATTTTCTGGGTCTCACAGTTGTGTTTTCTGTTTTCCTCTGAGTTCAGGGTTCCAGGTAATTGGCACGTTTGTGTCTGTGAATGAATGCTAACTATGCTCAGCCTTGGCTGTTTCTTTCCACCAAAATGACGCTTTGCAGTCTCTTCCTACCTGGAGACGTTAAAAAATATTATCTTCCCTTAGGGAGATGACCAATTAAGTCAGACATCGGAGAGGGCCGCCGTTCAAGCTTACTGAGGCTGTGCTAAGTGATTTGGTACAAAACAGCCATCTGCTAGTCACTGCTCATCAAAGCAGGAGACGGGATGGCACCTTGAATCATGGAAACGTGTGAAACTTGCCATGATTAGTTTTCTTAATGTTTTGAGAGGTAATTTCCATTTCCATTAAGTGGAAGCGTTTAAGAGTGTCACCATGTAGGGGGTGGGGAGAGACATTTATTCTTCAAATGAATCAAACAAATTTCTTTTTGAGTCCATTAAAGTGCACCTAAATATCAAATACGCCTGTTTGCATGGCGCATATCCAACAGGGAACACACTCCAGCCCCTAGGCTCCAAGTGCTCTCCTCGGGCTGGAGGAGAGCTCAGGCCTGTCAGGAAGGACCGGCCTGGGGGAGCCGAGACTGAGAGGATGCGCTCACCTCTGCCCCGCGCAGCAGTCAACTCAAAACACTGAAGCCAGGGCCCCGCACCTTTGACTCGCAAGTCTGCTCTGCCGGCTGGTCTGGTGACCCAGCTCCTCGAGTGGCCAGGCCAGCCTTGTGGCCTAGCCATTGTCCTTGAGATCAAATCTAAAGTGGGCTTGACCTCCAAAGCCCTCCTTTGGGAAGAGTCTTCAGCTGCTGGTCCCATGGTTTTGCGTCTCTGCCTCTGCTCCTGCTGTTCCTTCTGCTTTTAGTGCCTGTCCCCTCCTTCCTCACCCGTCCACCCCTCTAGTCCACGAGGCTGGCAGAAAGGATGTAGGCCTGTTCTCTAAGGGCAGTCCCCTGCCCCCGTCAGAATTCCTGATTCCTTGTCTCACTCCCTGCACACACGCAGCAGGTACCACCCCCCACCTGTGCCTCTCCTGCCCCTTTGCAGGTGCTCTCAGTGCCTGCACCCAGGACTGTGCTTCGGAGGACCCCCCCGCCAGGCCCCTGGAAGCACTCTCTCCTAGATTCGAACTTGCCTGGGAGTTGGAATCCCACAGCCCCTCACCCCCACCCCCTCCCCGAACCAGTGATTATTAGCGCAGGGATGTGGGCTGCCTGCTGTGTCTCAGGATGTGGCTCACATCCCGAGCCCCTGCAGGATCGGGCGGGCGCTCCCTTCTCGAGGACCTGTGTCAAAATGCGCCCAGGCCTGTCTTCCACCCGCCCGTTCCCTGCCCTGTGTCCCTACATCCCGTGTGGTCTCACTGAGCACATGGGAGCTGAGTCACCTGCCCACAGGCCCTCCTCTCTGGTCCACTCTCCATCATCTGTATCCAGAATCCACTAGAGGTAGGGTAGCAGCTCCTCATAATACAATAATAACAGGGTGTGAAGTTAGCCAGACCCGAGTTCACCTGGGTTCCCAGTGACCCCGTGCCCACGGCCTCTGTTTTCAGTCCCCTGTAGAAACGACCCTGGTGGGCTGTTTAGGAATCAGCTAAGGATCCGCATATGGGTACTGGCCGCATGCACACCCGCACCTCAGGCATGACCTCCTTGATCGCCCTCCTGCCACGTTTGTCAGGGGTAATGCTCTTATCTCCCTCACGTGTAATGCACTTTCTGCAGAGATACTGAAGCATCAAATCCCAGGTCCTAACTGGGCACAGTTGCTCAGAGCTTGATGGCTGACCCTACTCTCGTGGCTTAAAGGCTGGTGTGGGGAACAGAGGGACTGAGTGGCAATCAGGATGAGAGGACGAGGGCTCAGCAGGAGGGAGGCCTTGGGGGCTCCGGACCCAGGGAAGCCTCACTGGGAAGGCCCAAGTGCTGTCTTCTGAGTCTGTCTCCACTCCCCTGCCATCAGCACACCTGCGCTGGGGCTTCCCTCCACCCCGTGCAAGGCTCCTGGGCCCCCGCCCACTCCTCACTCCGGCTGCATCACCACCAGTCTGCACCTGTGTGGGGGCAGCCTGCACCTGGGGTACCTGTTCCAGGCAAACACACCTGGAGAGAAAGGTGAGAGGGGGAGTGTGGGGCCCTGAGGCATCCTCCAGAGAGGATGCATGAGCCGCAGAGCCCTTCCCTAGCTGATGGGAGAACCAGCTTTGTCTCTGGCACACTGCACACACAGGCTGAGAACCAGGCGGTGGGTCCCCCTCACCCTGGGTGACCTTGGACTTGTTCCTAACCCCCCTGTGCCTCATCTTCCTTCTCTGTAATATGGGCATCATCATCATCATCATCATCATCATCATCATCATCAAATATGTTGTTCATGGGCTTGTGAGAATTGAAAATGTGAATATACATCAGCACTTAGCCATCCTCAGCCTGAATAAATGCTGGATACGTTTAGTTTTATTACAGAAGCCAGAATCTGCAGCTGTGGGTGAAAGTCACATGGACGGAAATGTTAGTCCTGCTGGGTTTGGCTTATTCAGTACTTACTTCTCGAGTGTCTCCTGTGTGCCCAGCACTGTTTCTGGAGTGCTTGAGCCCCCACATGCCCCACTGCAAATGTTGTCTTCAGAGGCAGTGAGCTTCCCCATCGCTAGAGGTTCCAAGCAGAGGTTTCCACGTGGTATGAGACAGTGGCCGATGAAAAGAACTTTGTATGAGAGTATGGGTATATGCAGTCATTCTAATTTTTTTAAACTGAAGAGGCTTTATTATTATTATTTTGGTGGTGGTTGTTATTATTATTTTGGATAATATTAATCCTCAGTGTGGAAGCTGAGGATTACATTTCTACCTCAAAGTGCTGGTACCATGTTGCTTTATTCCCTTCTGGCCCCCTGTTGCCTGCTGGAGTACCTGGGGTG